ACTCGGAAATATTTATGAAATATATGATTATTTTTTAATTGGTTAAAATGTGTTCATCGAAAAATAATCCAGATATTTTAAATAAAAATAATAAGCCATTAAGTGTTTTCTTAAGCAGTATATTTATAGAGTGTCGTGATCTTTCTCAAGAAGATATTAGTAAATTGCTGAAATAAATGAGCACCTTGGTAGATACTAAATTTGAAACTATTCAAGAAAAATTATAAAGTATGAAGATTGGTTTAATAAGCTGAAAGATTTATTAAAATAAATCTTTGTAACATCTTCTTTCAATAGTTTAAAGTAAAATAAGACAAATAAATTTGCTAGACAATAAAATTAAAATGTTAGAATCAAAATCAATTTTAAGTACAGAATCAGTCGATTCAGTAAATAATATTGAGAAAGTCCGAGACAGATTATCGAGAGCACGCAACAATGTCGCTTGTAATATAATTGAAAGTACTAATGATAACCCTCAAAGTTTTGACTGGAAAACGATCATTGCTAATCAAATTTTCTCAAAATGTAATACATTAAGTATAAAAATCTAAAATTAATTTGGGATCAACTGAAAAATTAAAATATGTATAGATTACTTGCGATTTAACAGAACAACAAAGAAGTCAAATATATTACTTTATGTTATATATATCAATCTATATCTCTTATTGTATACATTAAAAGATATACGAAAACGTTTATCTAGCAAGTCAAATTGATTCATCAAGTGTAAAAACGGAAAATCATCATTGTGTCAAAAAAAAAACCCAGCATAGGGGAGTCGCGGCACAGTGGTGACGTGGCATAGTTGGATCAAGTATAATGATATCTGACAGTGATTAAAATCACTATCAAAAATAAACACTTCGATGCAAATCTTTAGATAGTGTTTAATTTTAAAAAAATTGGTGTTTTATTCCAAAAGCTACTTGATCTGCTGGTTCCTTATTAATATCTCGATTAAGATAAAGTATGTCGAATGAAAAAGGGTTTATTAAAAAATATTATTTCTCATAAAAAAATATAGTTTAAAAAAACTAAAAAACACGCTTTTAAAGCACATTGAACTAAAAAGTTTAAAATAACTTTTAAAATAAGCATAAAACAATATTGAACGAAAAATACTAGTATTATTGTGTAAAAGCGTCGGGCGCTCAATATACGAAAAATATGACACAAAGCACCCACGCTTTTATCACAATAATATTAGTATTTTTCGTTCATTATTGTTTTAAGCTTATTTTAAAAATTATTTTTAACTTTTTAGTTCGATGTGCTTTAAAAGCGTGTTTTTTAGTTTTTTTAAACTATATTTATTTTTTACTTTTTAGTTTTATGTTATGATAGTAGTTACTATTAATATCATGGTTGTAACGGGTAACGAGAATACAGGGTTCGATTCCGATGAGGGAGTCTGAGAAACGGCAACCACATCCAAGAAAAGCAGCAGGCGCGCAAATTACTCACTCCCGGAACGTGGAGGTAGTGACAAAAAATGACGATACGGAAATCATCCCTCGTAATCGGAATGAATACTTTATATCTCTTAGAATAAATCGTGTTAATATATAAATTTTAATAGTTATATGCGACAAATAATGCGACTTAAGTACGTAAACGTATCATGCACTAGGTATAGCCGTGTTTTGTGGGCTTGCGGGTCGGACTAACGTTATACCTGAGGTATAAACGGCGGTAGGAATATATACGTAAGCCGTATGGTACGCGGATGGTATTGGTCAGTCAAAATAAAAATTTGTTTATATATACATAATATTGATGACAAGCATGCGTGTACGGGTACGATAACTAAAAATAAATTTTTATAGGAATAGCGTTGCCGTCGTGTGTTGAGCGAGGCGTGGGGTGGGGTGAATGCGTTATGACAGTCTAGTCTAGACCATAGTAAAATGAATAAGAAGTATGCTCGATCACAGTCAGCATTTTCGTCGTAGTACGCGCAAGTGCATCGCCTTGTGTTTTTGTGCATTCGTATACGATCGTTGAAATACGACCGCTTCCGAATGCACTTTAAAACCGGGCGATTTTTAAATTGATAATTCTGATATAATATATATGATAGACATAATTTTTAAGTAATAATTATATTAATTACTTTAAAACAACGCATTCAATAATATTTTATAATAAATTTAATCGTGGATACTTATTTTAGATTCTATGTATTTTTTTGTTGTAACTTTTGTATTTTAATGAAAAATTAGGATTTTGTACCTCGTTAATTAAACGTGAGCTATATTAACTAGTGTGCAGACTTATTTTTTTATGTTTTAACATTGAATTAACACCACATTAACTTAAGAAATTAATATTAAATATATTACATTAAGTTAAGATGGTACATTTTTGGAAAACATAGCGCATAGCATTTTTTTTTTCTAAAAAAATGAATGAGTATTAATTAATGTGAATTTTAAAAAACAATCAACATTATTTATAGAAATTATTTTACTTATTAAGTGAATGAGAGAGATAGCATAATATAATCTTGAAATATAGATTATGTTTATTTTATTTTTATAATATAAAAATTATATAATATAATATTTCAATATTTCTAGTACCTTTTCATTGTATATTTTTTTAGTGTGCTGCTAATAATAAATATAATCCATCAGATTTATTTGAGGACAGCCTAACATATTTAATGGGGATATGTAGCTTTTAAATTTGAATACAAATATCCGAATCTTGTAGATAATTTGAATGAACCTAATGTTTACATACAGGTGAAACTAATATAAGCGTGTTAAAAATTGTGTGGATCCAAAAACTTTTCAATAAGTTATAGCATTATAAAGTTAAATGTAATATAAATAATAAAATCGAAAATTTTCACACAAAAATAGCATTCGGTAGCCATTTTCGCCGTGAAGACAAGCCCAGAGGTCAAATTTTTTTTTTCAAATTAAAGTACATTACATTAGTTTTAATTTAAGATATATATAAAAGTGTCAGACCTTCCGGAACATTTTCAAAAGTTAAGTTGAAAAAGTTCTACTTTCTATATGCATTTTTTATATTTGAAGCCCCCCCATATATAGGGAAATAGTCTGATTTAAAAAAAAAGTATATCCAATGAAAGATGTATATAAATACTACTTCTCATGAAAAAATTGTATTGATCCATACATTTTTTAAAAAGTTATAGCACTTTAAAGTAAAAAATGTAAATTATAAAATCGAAAATTTTCACACAAAAATAGCATTCGGTAGCCGTTTTCACCATGAAGACAAGTCCAGAGGTCAAATTTTTTTTTTTCAAATTAAAGTACATTACATTAGCTTTAATTTAAGATATATATAAAAGTGTCAGACCTTCCGGAACATTTTCAAAAGTTAAGTTGAAAAAGTTAATTTTTTGTGAAAAAGTTGTCATTTTAAATCCCCCCCTGTGGGCAGAAAAAAGGTCAAATTTACAAAAAAAATATACCAAATAATAGGTAAAGACATCAAGCATCTATATAAAAAAAAATTATATTGATATGTTCATTTTTGAAAAAGTTACGGCAGTTTTTAGTAAAAAAAATTGAAAAAATTTCGAAAATTAGCGATTTTTAAATTTGTAATTTTTTTGGAGGTTTCCCCCATTTACGGGGAACGAGGGAAATTTTTTCAATTTTGAAGGGTAATGTGTTCGACTAGATACGATTTGTGATCTTTTGACGTATCGTTGAAAGAAATCCGTTCGGTGAGAGCTGAGAAAAAGTGGCAACAGACACAAAAAAAAAAAAACACATCATAGTAAAACCAATACCTTCTCAGCTTCGCATCGAAGCTAAAACTAGTATTGCCAACAGGGCAGTCTCCTGTTGACAGTATATAGTCATTGTCAGGAGTTCTTAGCTTATTCATCCGCATAAAATAAACTTGGATATTCTCAGATGTAAAACTTATGTATACTAGGCCTTTTACACAAAAAAATTATTATGTATTACTCTTTAATCAGCCCTCTATATGGTCTCAAAATTTGAGGTGCAGCAAAAAAAAAAAAAAATACAAACCAATAAAGTCCATATATTCCAAACCAGAGCACTAAGAACTATTTTAAAAGCTCTACCATATATCATCAATGAAACTATTTAATCTGTTTGAAAAATTCCTGAAATAACTGATGAAGCTAAATAAAACTATTTACGTTTTTACAACCAACTACAAGTCAATCAAAATCTACTAATAACCAACTTGTTCAAAAAAATACATTTCTGGCAACAACTGAAGACAACTTATGTATAATTGGAGAAATTAAAAAAAAACCTACAGTAAATCTATTTCATAATTAGAAGTTATACTATTGAGTAACTGTCTTCTTTCATACCTATCATAATCAATTAGACTCTTAGCATATATACTTATTGTTTTAACATGAAACAATTGTATATTGCTCAATAAAAATAAAGTTTCGGAATATTTCAATTAAAAATAAATTTTTGGAAGTTCATTATTTATTTATTATGATTATTCACATTATATATATATAATGTTAAATTTTAAGTAAAACATAAATTTATGAATATTGAATAATTTAGATTTCAACTAAGATAGGAATTGTCATACAAATGAATAAATAAACATGATATTTAATCCTGTTCTAAGTAATACAAAACAAACTATTATTTTAAAATTATAATAATTTTTTATTACTAAACATATAAGTTAAAAAATCAGGTTATGCTAGAATAAAGAAATTATAAATGGACGGTTTTAATTCAGATGAATATAGGTAACTGAAACTCTTTTAACGATATGCAAGGTTAATTAAATTTAAATAAATGTTTAATAAAAAAATATATTTAGTATGGGTTATAACTATTAAAGTAAAAATGTCAATAATAACAGTGATGAAAATTTAAAAGACTTATTGGTGTAAACAAATTATTTTTTTATGTAATAAAAAAAAATATCAAATTTATTATATAAAACTTAACTATACAAAATAAAAATCTATTGCCCAATTTAAAAACAAAAAAAAAATATTTAAAAAAAAATAACGCTTTAATAAACATTGAAAAGTAATAACGGGATAGAGACTAACAAGAATAGGAATGTCATAAAATCTTAAATTATGTACAAAAAAAAAAAAATTTTAATAGGAATATAAGTTATGGAGAGTAGAGCTGGCAAGTTCTTTGGCGTTCTTGAACATAATCAAGTATAAAATGATTCGAGTCTTAATACTATTTACATATAATCATAAGTAAATTTATAACTAAGTCTAATTTAATTTAACAATTTAGATAATATAAGATTAAAGATATGAACATAGTTATAATAGACATAATATGAATTTAATAAGGAGAAATCATTTTGTCAAAAATTAAGAGCATAAAGTTTTAATAGAGGTATAAAAAAAATTTAATTTCAATATAAAGAAAAAAATCAATAATAACAGTTACATTTGTCTAAAAAAAATCATGTATAACAAAAAAGAAAAAAATTTCATCTATATAAATTTCATTTCCTATTAAAAAGGAATACATGTGAGTTACATGGGTATAAAACCTTATGCTTAGCTTTAACATTTAATCATTAATGATATAAAGATTAAACTTAATGTGCGTTAGTAATTATCCCCCACCTTTGTAGTTTTATTTTCTGTTTAGCATCATAGGGTGGAAAATGATGCATTAACATACTTGTGACTTATGTTCATATTTATAATTTAAGCTTATCTTATCATTTTATAACAATAAGAACACCCTGCCCGTCATATAGTCAACGGCAGAAGGTCACTAAAGCACTACGTCGGGCAGGGGTGCCGCACACTAGGCGGGCGATGTTACTTTACGTTCTTTATAGTAAATTTCTTCAGATTCTTTGTTACACAATAGTAAAACAACTGCTCCAAACAAAAATATTCCTGCACCCCAACCAACGCCATATGCCCAACCAAATTCCCACACCTTTCGATTTCCTACAAATACAAATATTTAACAATTAATGAATAATAAAATATTATATATTTATTATTATAAATATTGAATTACCCAAAATAAGTTCAGCAGCAAAACACACTGGGTACACAATAAGTGCTATTATCAATGAAAGTACTAGAAAATATTAATTAAATATAAATTATAATATTTCATAAGATAAAATAATAACCATTTTCTTACAGGCTAGTAACATGACATAAACAGCTACTCTGTAAAATTTATACTTTGTACGCTGGTCTTTGCTTCTTAACCCAAGTCCGGTTAAGAGAGTAGCTACTATATCTGTTATCAAAGTAACTATACATAAAGCAGCAGCTACTCGTATGTAACCTGTAAATTTTTTTTATAAAATTATAGTAAATAATAAATAAATACATAGTTTTATTACATACCAACTTCTCGTGTTGCATAACAGCCCGGACCATTATTGGGTACATTAAAAGGTAATGGCATTGGTGAATTTGGTGCAATACAGTGTGAAAATAATCCTTGTCGCCATCCTGCTGATAAAAGCCAATCAGTGGAAGTTAACGCTAATATCATCAACACAATCACTATCAGCCCACATATTAGAGCAATAACCTGAAAATTTTTTCTTTATAAATATTGTATTCTAATTTAAATAAAATATACTGAACATTTTTTATCCTGTAATAGGAATAAAAATCTTTGTTTCATTTAACTAATATGTATATTTTTTATAATATTATTAAATTACATATAAATAATGTTTCTTAAAACAATTAATCAGATATAATACACAAGGAACAGACTTATATGTATTTAAATGTTATTGTTAAGCTATTCAGGTAAAACCTTTATATTAATAATTTATATAAAAAAATTTTGAATCACATATTTGGATTTTTTTTAATGACTTTTTCTTTGTTTTAGTGATAATTTAATGAAACTAGCAGAAATTCGACTCTAAGTTTGCTAAAAAAGTGTCCATTTAGTTATATGTAATTAAAAATAATTTAACAAATTTAGTTATGATGCATTAACGGAATTTAAAATACTTCTAATCGCAAGAAATCAACATTTCTTCGCAATGTTATGTACATACAATAAAGTTGTACGACTTTGATTCCCTATAAAGTGACCTAAACAAAATTGTATAATATATATACATCCGATCCCCGATTATAAACTATTTATACCAATGTATATTTTACCTCTTTCTATTGCAAGGAAAGATATAATGAATGTGCTAACTCCCAAAATATTGAGTTTTATTTTATGAAATTTTTATAGATCTATAGGTGTTAGTTATGCTGACCAAAAATTAGATTCTATCCAGCCTTAAAGCTGTAATAAATGCTCACTAAAATAAATAGTTTATGAGAGTAGGGTTTCAAACTTTTAAAATGTATTACATTGAAATAAAATCGATAAACGAAAGGTAATCACCAACGTAAACCGCTTTTAGTTTAAGTGCAGTTGCGATATCCTTAAATCCCGCCTATATGGACATTTTTTCTTTTACTCTAATAATACGTAATTCCGAATTGGCGCATATATACAATCCGAACATAATAACTCTTAAGAGAAATAATCCTTAGAGTAATAATAACGAATAAAAGTCAATAATTCATACTAACATAACGAGCTGCGGTAAAATTGAATTTGAATTCGACATTAACATTTTCTTAAATCAGAAGCACATGTACTTTTTTTTGTTCAACTATCAAGAGATATTACCTGTGCACTCGACCCCTTGTCTGATTGCATGTTTTGTGATCGGCTACCTGGACCTCGCCAGTCCAAAGTATCAACGACTCCACTGGCAGTAGTCGTCGCCCCCGTCGCTGTGTAATGCAGCGACAGTTCTTGGCGGCGCTGCCAAGTGTCCGTCGTCGCTCTCGTTTGAATCAGTTTGCCGATGTACGATGACCCTTTTCACTGAAAAGAATCCCAGCACCGGCACACGCTAATAAAGATCCACGGGAAAAAACGGATGCAGATGCGCGGTGAACGATAATATAAAAAATCGCTACACAATAAAACAGATTTATCGAACGAATGACAAAAAAGCTCGAGTTAACGTTTAATTGTAAAATTTTAGAAGCGATATTATGTAACAATTTTCAATTAGATGATAACAGTGTGGGTGCAACTAAGCATACGCATCGTACTCGCTGTGGCTTCCGCCGTCGTCAATACACCACCGCTGAGCCCTGCAAAGCGCACCGCGTAACGTTACGCCAACCGACGTGGTCACAAGCGCACTCTTCACATTCCCTCCAATCCTTGTCCGCCACCCAGTGTTTTAGCAACCACCCAAACTACAGGGGGAAATTGGAACGGTTTAGGTGGTATGGGCGGTAGCCATCGATCGATATGATCGCGCCTGACATTTTCACCCACCGCTGAACCTTCAACACACACACACACGACTAGAGTATCTTTTAAATAGGCCATTGTAAATTTTACACAGAATCATCAACCCAACTGTCGAGCGACGCCTTCTAAGAAACACCATTACGTTGAAATTATTCTAGCAGCATTGTCGTTGTTAGACACACTTCATCCTTCGACACATATAAAAATTCCCTTTATCTAAACGGTCCATAGACAAAACAAAGTTGATAATTTGAAATAGAAAACAGAATATTTCAACAAGATTCTAAAAACATACATCACTTCTCAGTAATAAGAGTAAGTACAAATTACTTTCAACACAATCAGGGTACATTATTAAAACTAATCAAACGATCGCAAATAATAGTAAAATAATGAAGTTTAATACCTTTCTGTATCAATATATATATATACATTTTAATATTACGTACTGTTCGTAACTATATTTGATAAGTTTACTATTCCAATAGTAAAATTATTTGTTATTTATTTTTAATTTTCTACAACTTCTAATCATCAAGATGTGTCAAAGTTCATAAATGAGAAATAAGAGCGCATATGTGTCTTTATTATAATGCCATGTAACAGCAACTAGTTGAATGTAAAATTGGGCGGGGGTTGTCCTTAGTTACCACAAACTGTTAATTTATTATACGTACATTTAAACTTAAAAATATACTTTTTTAATTTATAAAATAAATAAATATTTTTTATTTTTATTAACCAATAATTTTTCGATTTATTCTCATAATTCATTATGTATACTTAGTTTTCAAGTCAAAAATACTTATATAACTTTTTAGGACGGAGTCTCTACTTTTTTAGTTTCACTTAAAAAAATTGTTTTTTAATATAATTTTTTTAATTACTTTATGATATAATTTACTATATATTTAATTGCTACTTATTTTAAACCTAAAAATTAATTGAATGATTAAAGTTTAATTAGTATTTGGTTTTTATTGAACTGCACATAATCCATGAAATTAGAAGAAATGGAGAAAACAAGAGTTATTTACAAACATTTATTTTACTACAAATGATTTATTATATTAATAAATATTAAATAAATATCACATTAAAGAATTAAAAAACTAAATGTGGCTTAGTGATAAAATTTTTTTTTTATATTTTCTTTTGATATTTAGTTTTTCTTAAATTTTCATATATTGATAATATTTGTAGTTAACATTACATTTTCTCATTACCTAACATATAGCATTTAATCATGTTTTTAGCTTTAGAAATACTATAATTGTACTAATATTTAAAAAAAAGACAATTTTATAATAATATAAAATAATTAAGTCCAAGGGCTTATTTACATAAAACCTCAATAGGCACCTTATTACAACAGCAAATTTTAAAGAGTGTTTTTTTTTATAATAATAGCTTTTTATCATTTTTGGTTAAAATAATTAAGTTTAACTTAAAAACACTTATATTAATAATTCCGCTTATTAAAATTATTATTACTTTGTATTATTACACAATTTTTTTTTTGTTTATTATATTGTATAAAAAAATTGTTTATATTAGTATAAAATATATATTATTTTAAAACAATGCAAATAAAAAATCAAACAGTAGGAGGAACCCAAACCATACTATGGTGAGTGGGAAACATTTAATAAACTTGCAGTCAGAAAATTTTTAAATATCCTGATAGTCATAAAACAAATATTTAGTATTTTGAGGTTAATAATTTAAGACTTTTGATGTCTAATTTTTAAAATATTAAAATGAAATATTTTAAATAATGTAAAGACTAAAAATTGTGAATTATCCTTTAAACACGTTAAACAAATGTTTATTTGTCTGACACACATAATTTTACCAAAATAAGTTATAGTAAATAAGTTTACAAGTGTTGCCATAGTGCAACCAAGAAGGTACATTGTGGAATTAATAAAAAATATTTTTAAATAAGCAAATTTACTTAAAATATTTTGAAGTATTGAGTTTTTATAATATTTATTCAAATTTTTTTTGTTCAATATTTAATTTTATACTTTTTACAAACATTTATAAATGCAGCAATCAATTGAATTGAAAATAAATAGAACAAATATACAATATAATATGGATATGGCTTTTAAATATCTATTTTAGTATTTATGCAGTTAATTTAATCACATAGGTATCAAAATATTATTATGTCAAACTTTTCTTTTGTAACATTTGGTATTTTAATTAATGTTATTTTTTTTATGAAGAAAATTTACCTAAAATAGCAAACCGTTAATTTAGTTACTATAAAATGTAAAAAAGAATTTCAAATCATTTTTAATAGTTAATGAAGAAATTCAATATGGAAGAAATTATTCTTTCTTAAAAAAATGTTTTTTTTTTTAACATCTTACTTTAAGAGGTCTAGTAATTGTAATAGTTTCCACAGTAGTTGTCTCACTCATAATTCTGTTATTTGGTTTACTCTAAAACAAATATTTAAAAAAAAAATTATATGTTAATTTTTCAAATACATTACAAAATTTTATATTATCATTAAGTTTTATAAAGAATATAAAGAATGTTTTCTACATTTTTATCAATAAAATGTAGGTTAGTTTTTTTTAAAGGTAAAACCTTTTTAAAAACAAATAAAATTATTCTGAATCAACTTATCCATCCAGTGGTTAGAAACGAAGTATAAATGGTTTAGTAGTAGTATGTATATATTTTAATATCTAATTTATATATATATATATATATATATTTATAATGACAATCGATCTTTTAATCAAACAGATACTACTGATTAAACAAAAAATATACACTTTTACTATTACAAGTTTAAAAAGGACATAATGTAACATAAATTTACAGACTAAACATATAGTGACCCAATTTAATTGAATTGAATATATTTTTTATTGTATAATAATTAACTTACTTCAATTGCCATGAATAATAAATTTCAATAATAAAATTCACATAATAAATGTCTGTCTGTATTCATACTGCAGCTCATTCATTATTTTAACACAATTGATATCATTTACGTTGTAAAACATGAGTAATGACGACATACCAATGAAAATATGTATGTATATTACACTACAACAACTATACTTTGCATATCAACAAATATTGTACTACTATTATCTACTTGTATCTCATAACTTTGAAATTATACAGTCTGACCTTATAGCAAAACGAAATCAAGACTTTTTAAGGTATTTTTATGTATTAAATTAATATTTATGATAATTTCATTATACAATTAACTATTAATATAATGTCACAAATAAGTTTTCATATAGTCTATGCATCTCCTATTTTATTTTTACATTATTATTGCGTTTTAAAATAATATTAATATTATGAGAACTATAATTGTACGTAAATCTGTCGTTAAAGCAGCAACAAGGAATAGGAATTTTTTTTTATCTTTAACTCTATAATTGAAATTAAAATGTTATTATTAAATCGGTGTTTAGTCATTTTATTCCAGTATAATGAATTAGCTTTTAGTAAATCTTATTAGATAGAATATTTCATATAACTTTTTTGAGAATTTATTTTAATTCAAGAACCATAATTCTTAACAAACCATGTATACCCGTTTTCAACGGNGTGGGAAACATTTAATAAACTTGCAGTCAGAAAATTTTTAAATATCCTGATAGTCATAAAACAAATATTTAGTATTTTGAGGTTAATAATTTAAGACTTTTGATGTCTAATTTTTAAAATATTAAAATGAAATATTTTAAATAATGTAAAGACTAAAAATTGTGAATTATCCTTTAAACACGTTAAACAAATGTTTATTTGTCTGACACACATAATTTTACCAAAATAAGTTATAGTAAATAAGTTTACAAGTGTTGCCATAGTGCAACCAAGAAGGTACATTGTGGAATTAATAAAAAATATTTTTAAATAAGCAAATTTACTTAAAATATTTTGAAGTATTGAGTTTTTATAATATTTATTCAAATTTTTTTTGTTCAATATTTAATTTTATACTTTTTACAAACATTTATAAATGCAGCAATCAATTGAATTGAAAATAAATAGAACAAATATACAATATAATATGGATATGGCTTTTAAATATCTATTTTAGTATTTATGCAGTTAATTTAATCACATAGGTATCAAAATATTATTATGTCAAACTTTTCTTTTGTAACATTTGGTATTTTAATTAATGTTATTTTTTTTATGAAGAAAATTTACCTAAAATAGCAAACCGTTAATTTAGTTACTATAAAATGTAAAAAAGAATTTCAAATCATTTTTAATAGTTAATGAAGAAATTCAATATGGAAGAAATTATTCTTTCTTAAAAAAATGTTTTTTTTTTTAACATCTTACTTTAAGAGGTCTAGTAATTGTAATAGTTTCCACAGTAGTTGTCTCACTCATAATTCTGTTATTTGGTTTACTCTAAAACAAATATTTAAAAAAAAAATTATATGTTAATTTTTCAAATACATTACAAAATTTTATATTATCATTAAGTTTTATAAAGAATATAAAGAATGTTTTCTACATTTTTATCAATAAAATGTAGGTTAGTTTTTTTTAAAGGTAAAACCTTTTTAAAAACAAATAAAATTATTCTGAATCAACTTATCCATCCAGTGGTTAGAAACGAAGTATAAATGGTTTAGTAGTAGTATGTATATATTTTAATATCTAATTTATATATATATATATATATATATTTATAATGACAATCGATCTTTTAATCAAACAGATACTACTGATTAAACAAAAAATATACACTTTTACTATTACAAGTTTAAAAAGGACATAATGTAACATAAATTTACAGACTAAACATATAGTGACCCAATTTAATTGAATTGAATATATTTTTTATTGTATAATAATTAACTTACTTCAATTGCCATGAATAATAAATTTCAATAATAAAATTCACATAATAAATGTCTGTCTGTATTCATACTGCAGCTCATTCATTATTTTAACACAATTGATATCATTTACGTTGTAAAACATGAGTAATGACGACATACCAATGAAAATATGTATGTATATTACACTACAACAACTATACTTTGCATATCAACAAATATTGTACTACTATTATCTACTTGTATCTCATAACTTTGAAATTATACAGTCTGACCTTATAGCAAAACGAAATCAAGACTTTTTAAGGTATTTTTATGTATTAAATTAATATTTATGATAATTTCATTATACAATTAACTATTAATATAATGTCACAAATAAGTTTTCATATAGTCTATGCATCTCCTATTTTATTTTTACATTATTATTGCGTTTTAAAATAATATTAATATTATGAGAACTATAATTGTACGTAAATCTGTCGTTAAAGCAGCAACAAGGAATAGGAATTTTTTTTTATCTTTAACTCTATAATTGAAATTAAAATGTTATTATTAAATCGGTGTTTAGTCATTTTATTCCAGTATAATGAATTAGCTTTTAGTAAATCTTATTAGATAGAATATTTCATATAACTTTTTTGAGAATTTATTTTAATTCAAGAACCATAATTCTTAACAAACCATGTATACCCATTTTCAACAGAATATTGAGAGTAGTTTTTGCGTAAATATTTTAAGCTATTGTGTAGGTATAGGTATTAAAGATATATTCTGGCTGTAATAGGATGGTTAGAGTAGAACGTTTTTCATTTATTTATTTAACTTCAATAAATAGAGTGTGAATGAAAAAAATTGAAGTGTCAAAGAAAAACCGAAAAGAAAATCGATACTTTTTACTTAAGCTAAATAAAATAATATTTCATTTCAGCTATATTTTAAAAATATAACTGAAATGAAACAAAAAATTGAAAAATGCTTAAACTCGATTGAAGCAGGGTCATCTTCAGGTCAACTTTTTTTTAGGAGGGGTGGGCGCATTTTAAATATTTTTATCATCTAGATTGGAAATAATTGTCATATATAGTGTTTTAAACTTAGAGACGCATCATTTCCAAAGACTAAAAAAAATTTTCTCGCTACGCTCAAAATAATGCGCCAACTTTATTTTATCTATTTTTACCTGTGTAATATTAGGAATTAATTTTTTGAAAAATATTTTTATATAGTTTTATGTTTAGAATTCTATTTTTCTTTATAATACTAATATATGTAACCACAAAATTTAGTTATATACTCTCTTTCCTCTCTACGTATTTAATGATGCATCATTTATTTTGAAATTTTTGAACGGTAATATTTGTATAGAAGTCGTTTACTTATACTTGTAATAGTTTAGAAATATTAACTTTTATTTTGAATCTAAACTTCGGAATTTATGCTTAAAATTCTTAACAAAGCAGTACATATAGAATACGTATATTATTTTTGTCAATATACTAGCAGTTATTGTTTAATTATTATTATATTATTTGTATTGATTTTATTATTTTAGTTGTCTGTATTATTATTATATTATTTTTAACTATGTCTATCTTATAAATTATTTTTTTTTGAACACTCTATTTCCTATTGAGCTTTAAATATAAATAAATGTGTACACTATATAATATGCAAGTGTGGGTACGTTGTGTATATATAAAATAGTTTCTTAAAATTGGGGTTTTTAGTAGGAATGTGCTGAATGATGCGACTTCAAGGAGAGATGGAATCTACTGATGATGAGCTTGATCAGAGTGTGTTTGAAAACAAAAATGGTCTGGCTGATGATATGGCATTTTTGGCTAGTATGCCAGAGTTATGCGATGTCACATTCTTAGTCGGAGATACCAGAGAACCAGTATGCGCCGTAAAAGCTGTTTTAGCTGCTAGAAGCAGGTATTTTTGTAATACCTGTTGTATTAAAGTTTTTGTAGCTTTAATACATTAGTTATTTTCAACTAATGTATTTGTAGACACAATATCAAANTTTGTAATACCTGTTGTATTAAAGTTTTTGTAGCTTTAATACATTAGTTATTTTCAACTAATGTATTTGTAGACACAATATCATCATATTACTTTTTAATATTATTATTATATAGAGTGTTTCATAAAATGCTATATCAACCGCCAAGTCCACAGAGAAAAAAAGAAGTTATTCCTAAAGAGACTACTAAGCTTAGACGACCGACATTTTTGAAACGAAGTAGTGAGCCATTGTTGAATGTGAAAAATGCTAACACCCAAGTATAAAATGAAATAAATAAATTTGTTCGTGATATTTATTTGTAATCATTTGTTTTTTAGACACAATCTAATCAGCATCAAACTGTAGTAGTGGATGAATTCGAGCCGGACGTATTTCGTCAACTTATTGAATACATACACACTGGTTGTGTGACTTTGCAACCTAGAACTCTATTAGGTATATTAAATATAAGCTTCATTAAAGTTAATAAAATAATTATGTGTAGGGTGATATTTAGCATCATATGAATTGTTATTATAAATATTCTTTACTGTTTGTATACTTCGTATATTTTATACAATAACAATAGTTGGTCTACATTACAGGAGTTTTAAATGCAGCCGATTACTACGGTCTTGAAGATCTTCGGAAAGCATGTACAGGATTCGTCCAATGTTGTATCAACGTCGATACTGTCTGTGCCCTACTCTCATCCGCCGAACGTTACATACAGTACAAATGCACTAAAAGTCTTGTACAGAAGGTACACATTACAAATGTGCAATTAAATGCCTTTAAAAACTAATTGAATTTTAAATTGTTCAGGTATTAGAGTTTGTTGACGAACATGGCAACGAAGTTTTAAATTTAGGATCGTTTGCCTTATTACCATTGCATGTAGTGAGATTAATACTAAGTAGAGATGAGCTAAAAGCCGACGAATTCACCAAATTTCAAGTAAATTGTCTAAATAGTTTTACACATAAATGACAAATTTCGTTAAATTACTATGTTATACTCATTCAAAACGCGTTTATAATTATAGGCTGCATTAATGTGGACCATGAAATACGGTGATACAAATTCAAACGTCGATTGGAAAGAGGTATTTGTTGAAAATTTTATGTCTTCCATTCAATATCACAAAATACCTGCCAATGTTTTAATGAATGAAGTAGAACCATTGAAAATAGTTCCATACGAGGTGATCATGACATCTCTAGCTTATCAGGTGCGACCAATGTATTAGTATTCCTATTAAATTTATCAACTAAAAATATTTATAATTCTTCAAGATATACAAATAGAATGTAAATTCAGATTTTTTTCTTTGTAACTAAAGTCAACATTTTTAAATGTAATTTTTGAGAATGTTTCTTAATAAACTTTTGAAAATAAATAATTTTGCAAAGACTTTATAATTTTAAATAGTTATATAATGGGTGGAATCTTGAATGAATGCTCATGATGTTATTGTTCTAGGCAGACCCCTCCTGTGTCGATCCCGACAAACTGAAGAGGGCTTTGAGAATGGGTAATATACATGGACTGATGGGTATCAGTAGTACAATTGGCACAGTGACAGCTGAAAGAACAATGTCGATGCAGAGTTCGGGTACACACCACGGTTCCAGTTCAACAATTAGCTCCATCGGATCCAGTGATTTAGTTGGTTCTGATAAAACTTGATCCGGAAGAACCCCTTTGAGTTAATAGGCGTGCACTCTTGCCTAAATATTCAATTATTTTATAATGAAATGATTCCTATTAAAAAAAAAAACAAATTCGCATTAATTATTATGACTATAAGGAAACATTGAATTTTTGTGTTCTTGAATATATTTTTAAATGGAAGAAAAATATGAAATGAAATTATCAAACCATATCATAAATATAAAAACATAAACTTTTAACTTCTTGCAGTTTATAAAAATAAGCTATACGTAATATTTAGGCAAGAAAAAATTATGATCATTATCGGACTAAACAAGTGTATTAAGAGAACAAAAGAACAATTGTGTTTGTATTATTACACGAGCATTGTAACTAAATAGTATGTGCACGCCTATAAGCTCAATACAAATATAATGAAGTACAATTTAAGGTCCATTTTTAATCAATTCTTTAACGCCAATTACGATTAACTATTACTTACTATTATTATTATGACTTTATTGATGAAAATTGTACGAAATTTATCTTCATTAATTTTTTCTGATCAAATGTTGTGAATAATAATATCTCATTGTATCTATCTCTTCAAGTCTTAGTATATGGTTTGGTTCTGTATATTTTGTTAATGATGAGATGTTCGGAGTAGTAAATTTATGTATAAACCGACGACCAATTAAAGCTCAAACGATATAAATAAGGCCGATTACCTGGTTTTTACACGAAAACCGGGTAACTGGTATCTAAACTACAAATGTATGAATATAATTTTTGTTTATTTAGAACCAAACAAATTTACATTAATAAATATCGTTTAATAGGAAAATAATATAATGTAAACTCTGTGCAATTTATAGAAACTTATTTAAAAAGATATCGACAAATAATAAACTTATTTTACTACTTACGGTCAAGTCTGAATGTATACTATATAGAACCAATCACATGCAATACTTATTTAAAATTTTTTAAAATATAATCAAATTAAAAAAATATTACACTGTAAAAATTTATTAATAGTGAGAGGTATTAAAAAATTACAATTATATTAGCTTTAAAATTAATTTATGCCTCTAGGCGTATAGAGAAATTTATCTCCAAGTATTATAAAATTATACTAATGAAACATAATTATTGAAGGGGTTGATTCATAATTATCGATTCATTATCTATTTCTTTAGTAAAATACGTCCTTGAATTTGATATATTATTAAAAAATAATATTACAATTTATGATATTCTTATAATAAATATAAATTAACTACTTTTCTCTAAAAAAAGAAACTAAACTTCTTTTAAAAATATTGAGTATTTTAAAGTATGATTTTTAATAAAATTGTTGTAAAATAATTATTTACAAAAAATTTTCGTCATATTTGTTATATATTAATTAATAACAATTCATTTTCAATGAAAACTAAAAAATGTTGCATATATCGTTGGTTAAAAATCAATTTACTGTTAACGACAATATTTATACTCTTCAGGAGAGCCAGAAAACAACTTCATATTTTATTATTTTATAAAATAGTATAACTTTTGTAGTTCTATAAATAGCCCATCTATTTTTTTTTTAACAAATGCGTTGTTATAGTAATGTTTAAGAAAATGAAAAATCATTTAATTTTTAAATATTTTATAATAGTTAGCTTGTACTTCAAAAAAAAAATAATAATAATAACAATGGCGCTTAACGTATTTTTAACGTTATTTACTACCAACTAAATTAAAGAGGAATGGATCTATATCATATTTCAGTGCATTATTTTTATATCAATTATTTTAATGTCGTTTACAGCACAAAATTAAATCGTTGATAACACGCTGTAAAATTATGTTATCATTAAAGGAAAACAATATGGGGATAGACAGAACGTCGTCTTCAATTCTAAATAGCTAGTGTCATTTGCAGCAATTAGCCTTTTAACCAAAGATATATCTTTGACAATTTTTTTTTATAATATTTAAATTTCAATGGATGTTCATAAAAGGAGAATCTATTTTGAATGACCAAGATTTCATATAATAACACTTATAATGTCGTCATAGCTGAAACTTTCATTCTAACCGAATCAATAAAATTAGAAGTAGTAAGTGAGATCAATTTTTGAAATTAAGAAATTCGTATAAATTAAATAGTAGATTTGAATTTGTTTAAAAACCCATGGCATATCGATCAATGTTCATAAAAATCATAACTTTAATAAAGTATTGTGTCAATTTTTGGTGGTACCCACACCGTTATTATTTTTTAGTTTAAATTTGAAAAAATTAGCTTTTGTCTAAATTTTAAATAAAATTTGTTGAAATTAATACCAATATAAAAACATGAATATATGTTAATTATATACGATTATATTACTTGATTAAGTGTTACTGTATTGAATTTAATGTAATATATAAATAAAATGTATATTATACATATATAATCATAAAAAAAGTGTTATTACATTAAACTGTTTTATTCTATAATGTAAATTATTTATTATAATTAATAAATATTAAACTAAACTAAGCTTAAGTGTTTTGTATCATGAGCTTTATAATAATTCAAAAAGTCATACATTAAGTGGTATTAACAAATAATTGCATAGTTAGTAGGACTCTTAACAAAATATATATTATCGGAATATATATTGTATACATTGAATATAGAATCAATTACTTTTGGTTTAGTTATTGCTAAATTATAGTCTTGTAGAATATAGAATATGCAAGGCAGGGCATAAACGATTTAATAAATTAAAGTTATGTTGAAAAATTTAGAATAGGCGTGTGCAGACTTTTGAGTCCAAAGCAGCAAATAATACCTTCACCGGATTACATTACTATCAAAACAGCCACTATCCAAAAAAATAAATATAAGATTAATAGAGCTTCAATTAATTGTCCCTAGATATTTCAGAAGTAATTAATTACGCTCTATAATACCCCTACGTGCAGGTATTATCTAACAGGTAGATCATTTTTTTTAATCTTAAATTAAAAATTTTAATCAACAAAAAATTATAATAAAAATTGATCACCTGTGGCTAATAGTATTTAAAATTTAACTGAAAAGCTATCAAATTTGGAATAGATGAAAATACCTTTTCTAAGTCTTTAGCCAATTGTGTTCGACACAATAGGTCTCATATTATTTACCGGTTTATGTATTTTTAGCAAAACAATAGTGTAGGTATTTGAGGGTTTGAAATTTTAATCAAAAACTTAAACTTTTCTTCAATTATTAACTTTGAACTATTAATAGCATTTGTAGCCAATCTTATCATTTTAATGTATCTTTTCAATTCCTTTATAAAGATCCTTTCGAATCATTTTTAATACTGTATCAAAATAGTCTTCTTTTTTCAGTATTACTATGAAATTTCCCTTATCTGATTTAAAATAAAAACAATTTTTATTTTTTTAGTCCTGTATTGATCGTAAATGTTTTTAATATTTTTCTAAACTTCCTTTATCTACAAGAGAATTTTGTATAAAAAAATTCTTGGGGTGGATGAAAAAAAAATTAATTGTCTAGGTTTTTGAAGAAATTTTTCAAATTCATTTTCTAAAGCTTGGTTTTTGTTTTGTATTTCTCTTGTATTATTTTTTTGTACAGTCAATGTTATAATTTTAAGTCATCAATATAAAAGCTTTCTGATAGGGTTAAGACCACATATTGGTCTTAACCAATATATGGTCCATATATTCTACAATTTTACTAGCTAAATTATGATTTAATTTACTAGTATTCAGGATACATTTTTTCCAAATTGCTATTGTATCACCTAGTGTTAATACATCGCATTATAGTTTTGTACATATTATTTTTGCAGGCTCTAAAGCTCTATGAAGATCTTAAATTTACTCCAACTTTCATTATTCATAAATATTATCATTATTCATTTATTTTGTGTCATAAATTCACAAAAATGTTGATATTGTAAAAGACCTTCAATCGTGGTAATGGTAGATCCCCATATAGTGAAACAGTGTATTGGTGAATTTTTTGTTTTTAAGTTTTTTTAAACTTGTCTGCATATTCGGTCTTAAAATGTTGTCAATAGATCGAGTTTTAGCAAGTATTTTTGAAATTTAATTATTTTTAAGAACATCTAAAATCGATAATTGAAGTGTGTGAGTTGTACAACGGATACCTATTAATATATTCGTACTTCCATTGATGTAGTCAATTATATTTAGTAAATCATTATTTTCATAATTTTCAACACTAATTTCACTTTTGTTTTCTTTTTCCTCCTTCTCCTCAAAAACAACATCATCATGATCTTCCACAATGTCATTGTCAATTAAAAACGTTATCGATTGAATAAAAAATATTTTTCCAGCCTTAAGATTATAATTCTCCAATACAATAATAACTATATTTTTCAAGTTAACAGACTTAGTTAATTTCAATTATGGCTAAAGTGCGTATTAATATAATTGAATTTTTTTAGTACTGTACATTAGTACCAAGTATATTTCGGTCATGGCGAGTAGCCGAATCTTTTTTTTTTTAAAAAAATTGTCCTTTATCTCATTTGAGATAAGTTGCTTAATGTAAATAGTACGTGCAATTAAGTATTCGCGTATTACTTTGCTTTAAAACTTATTCCTGTAAAAAGAGGATCAACAACTTTTCTAAAGCTAGAATCTTCTATTGATATAAAAGGTCTACAATTTACCGAGTTCATATTAATACAGCCATGTATTGATGGCCTCAATAGTTACTGAAGTACGACTAATTTTAACTTTAACAGTCACAAATTCATTATCCTATAAATAAAATCCCAATAATTTTGTGATTTTTATTAACTTAAAAATATAGATAGAAAGAAACATTAATTCCCAACTGATATGTTTTTTCTATGAGAGATAGAAAATTTTATTTAATGTAATAAGATCCATTTCTTATCAAAATACTACTGNTCTTAAAAAATAAATTATTTTACGATTACATATTTAGAAATATTTTACTTACTTCATAAGCTTTAGTAATTTCAATAAATTTAGAAGTTGCTTCAGGATTGGTATTCTTATCTGGATGCCTAATAATAAATTAATCACACATTATAGATGAACTTTTAACTTATTTAAAACTATTTACCATTTTTTAACTAGAGTACGATAAGCATTTTTTATAGCACTTA